CGTGGGTGCCGGGAGCCCCTGAGGCCCGGACGCGCCCCCCCGGCGCTCAGCGCCGGCCCAACATCATCCAGCCCCGGGAGCGTCCCGGTCCGCCCGTCACTGCGGACGTCTCTGCCGGTCTCCCCTCCAGCCTTCCCCTCTCACGGCGTCCCGCAGGCAGCCCTGAGGCTCTCCCCTCCCGCAGGACTCACGCACCGGCTCCTCTGAGCAGCAGGCCACGCGCCCGGGAGCCGAGCAGCTCCCAGCGCTCGGAGGCCCCCCGGGCAGCGCAGCCTTTCCCCTCACAAGCCCCTCAGCATCGCGAGCAGCAGCAGCCTCAGGCACGGGTGAAGCTTTCAAAAGCAGCAGCAGCAGCAGCTCGGAGGTCTCCGGGTCCCAGAGCCCTTGTCCTGGGGTGGGGGCTGCTCTTCTCTTGGGTCTCACAGCAGCATCCCACACCTCACCAGCTCCGCCGGGCTCCATCGGCTGCTTGTCGTCCCAGGGGCCGGGCGAGGCCGGCAGCAGAAAGGGCGACAGCAGGGACTGGGCCGGAGGGCTGTGGGCATCTGCAGGCAGCTCCCACTCCTAGGGCAGCTCGTACTGAGATCTGAATCGTTTCCACAGGCGACGAGACATGACGCCAGTCACGATCAGTGCCAACAGCGAGACCGTTGTCCCCGCAGCGATGGCGGGGCCCGCGCTGAACGACTCTGCAAAGACATGAGAAGGACGTATAATTGCAGGCAGACTCTGCCCACGCCAGCAAATACCCAGGGGTGAGCATAACACCCCCCAGCACTGAACATGGCACTAACACATCTCGCTGCAGCCCAAGCCCAAGCGATGGGGGGTAAGGGAGAGGGGGCTGCAGACCACCACTCACCATCCAAGACTGTCAGCTGCAGACTGACCACCTGGGAGCGGTGGCCGAGCAGGACACACTGGTAGTGGCCCTGGTGCCGGGGCTCAGTGCGGTCCAGCCACAGCGTGGAGCTGCTGCCCACCGCCTCCTCCCGGTACTGCGAGAGGGCCACCGGGGTCTGCAGCCAGCGGACCGTGGCGTTCCCAGCGCACTGTGCGCGGCACTCGATGCGCAGGGCCCTGCCCCGCGTCCCGTTGGGAGGCAGCGACCAGATCTGCAGGCTGCAGGCGGGCGCTGTCCCCACGGATGGTCCTGTCCCCTTCTCCGCCGGGGGAGAGCCCCAGCTGATGCTGTCCGCAGCCGTCCCCTGCACCTCAGCTGGGAGGCTCACGGTGCTGGAGCCAGGAAGCATGGTGGTGGCCAGACGTCCCGTGGGACTGCCTGCAACGAGGTCACGGGGAGCAGGGCGCTCTGTGGAGGGGGGTTTGGTGGCAGCAGCTGGCTCCAGGATGGTCTCAGCATCGGGCTCCTGCAGTGTGGTGGTCAGGGCTGTGGTGGGATCATGTGTGGGGACACTCGGCTCTGGGGGCAGTGCCGTAGTGGTCACGGGCCCGGCTGTGCTGGGGCTCCCCGCCGGAACTGCCGCTGTCCG